ATCCATGAATGAATTGATTGATGTTAAGGACAGCAGATGGGGTGTATACGCCGGGGAGGCTAGGCTATTGCTGAGAATGAAATGCACACGGAGATAATTGTTAGCTGCGGTCCGACACGCCGGGGAGAAAAAGTGTAAACGACTGAGGCTCGCATGCGTCACCGCTACTAGAACTGAGGCAGAATGAGTGACAAGCGATTGCAGTGGTAATTGATAGTGAATAGAAAAGAGGATGCTTGAAGAGTATCATGAGTTGGTGCTATGGTCACTTTGCATTCTGCAAGAGTCATTCTAGCAAGTGGCGATTGTGTTGCAAGATATCAAGAGGAGGTCCCTGTCTGGAGGCGCAGGTGGTCAGCGATGTGTGAGATTGTGCTGTGGGTATACTTGTGGTGTGTTGGCTTTTCTGTTTGTTTTCCATTTCAGCTCTGTCCGTGTGACCCAGGTTCTCGGAATGGCATCCAAGTCAACGTGCATTGGTCGTGAAGGAAAAAAGGGTCGGATCCCTTTTTTGCCGGGGAGTGTCAATGGAGTTGAAGATTGAACGATCAATTCTTGGTTGTTTGCTCAAAATCAACTTCCCGAATTTTCGCGGAGGCATCAATACGACAGTCATCGTCTCATCGGTCGCTGTTCAGAAAGAAGATTGAAACATCGTCAGAAGTAATACAATGATTTATTATTGTAATATTTGTTTTCAGACCTTCGTTCACTTATCCTTTTTATATGTTGGTGTAACAATAAAGAAATATCAAGCGGCAGATCGGTGTTTTGGTTTTTTCGTCCGTTATAACTAAGCGTTTCTGAAAACTTCAAGGAACAGCGTGGGCCCGAGCGTAGCGAGAGCTGGGCATTAACGGTTTATGATACGTGATTTGCACCAGTTGTTTTGTTTAATACCGTTTTGTCTATCTGGTGCACAGCCTTCCCCTTCAGAGAATAGGAATAGAATAAGTCGAATCAAATTCATTAAGAGCTCTAAAATGTTAGGTTTAATGGAGTATAATGAGGATCAAGTAAAGACGTTATTAGAAAATGAATGAGATAAGACATTGTGAAGTGGTATTTAAAGATCCGACAATGGATAGCGAGTCAATTTATAAAATGCCCCACCAATCTGTGCAGAGCCCATGTGGTCGCATCTCAACAATAGGCTGAGTGAATGGTATATGTTTAAAGGCAGTAGCGTGATCTGTCTAGGTGTTCATTATTATCTTTTTCAAGAAAAAATCTCGAGCCGTCAAATTGCATATTGCCATTGCTGCAGAATGGGGCGATTCACCTTAGTGATCACCACCATATCTACTGATCAGCTAGCGCCACCCTCCCTCCTTTTGTGATGTTAGGCTCTGAGACTATGATGATAATGGCTACCGCAAATATATTGCTTGGTACCAGACATGTTCGTACCACATATTCCATCTCCCTAGCCTTCTCAATGAGTGCTTCCAATAGGTCTCCACGTACATCTTTATGAACATATTACATATGTGTGCATGCGTCCTAATGAACAGACTACTTTAAAAGAAGTTAAAACCTTAAAGAGTAAAACGAATAGGTTTTGTGAGTAGTGGAGCAAGATTCAGAAGAACACAATAGTTAGGGTTCAAAGTAGGTAGTATGAACTGAAGGTAAGGTCAGCTGGCAGGAATTAGTGTACTAAATTTTCATGACAGTCTTATATGTAGTCAACATTTGACATTGATGACTGGCAGATTGATGAGCCGCGAAAATTATGGGGAAGTTGGGTTTGAGCAAACAACCATGAATTGATCGTCCAATCTTCGACCACATTGACAATGGTAGTTAGTCTTACAGGGAGCCGTAAAGTAAATCAAACTATAAATGATAAGAGCATAATCAATATTATAATTCGTAATATCAAAGAATGCATCAGGCTCAATAACTGAGTGCTATAAGGGAAACAAGCGTGGTAAAGCGAGAGAACATTTGCTGCATAAATATTTTAATCATTTTAAGTATTTTAATAACAATCTAATTTCAAGAACTGAACATGCATGATTAATAAGTATTATTATATTAGTATATACATACGTAAAATATTAAAAGGTGTGGTTACTATCATAATTATTTCCAGGGTTAATTTTACCAACACAACTTAGTGAAGATCATAGAGAATAGAAATAAGTAAATTAGTTAAACGTTCGGTGTGTAAGTATTAGATTCGAGTTATACGTATGTGACTATACTGAAGACTGGACTGGCTTTCAATTTCCGTTCTGCCAACAGTTGTGATCTTTTAAACGAGCTAGAGTGGACATGTTAATGTGTCTTTCTAGGCTCCTTTTGAACCCATGGGGGTTTTCGCAACATCTTATTTCAGAAAGTAGTTGGTTCCAAAGAGTGCAATATTTAATGGTGAAAAAGTTCGCCCTAATGGATTTTCTGTGGGTAGGCGCTCTGACAAGGTAGTCGTGGTTTCGCAGCTGATATGATTTAATATTTTCCCACGTTATGGATGAGTTACTATAGCAATGTTTCCTAATTACTTTGAAGAGTGGAAATAAGTTGCACTTCACTCTCCTTAACCACTGAGGTTCTAATTTCACACGTATACACCTGTCAATATATTCCACTCTTTGGTCAAACCCTGTTATGCGTTTCGTGAGGAATCTCTGAACACTTTCGATTTTTCTTCTGTCTGCATACCTGAGGTTACTAAATAGGAGAGCACATTATTCAAGTTTGGGAGGATACATGTCCTATATATAGCTAATCTTGCTTCTTGGGTGTAGAAGTTACGCAGTACAAAGCCAGTAAGTCGTTTACAGTCAGATACAACCTTATTTGCATGATCTGAAAAGGATAAATCTGAGTATGTTATCCCGAGATCTGTGACTGTGTTCAATTTTGAGAGGAGCTTACCGTACATATATAGGCAGCCTGCTTAAATCTTCGGCTACCAAAATTTCCATCCTACATATTGCATCTATTTCCTCGGATTTATTTTGTTTTAATCATTCAATTATGTATCCAAGTCGCATTACTTACTCTCGCAATTATTTAAAATGTCTTCAACCCGTTGATTTACGAGTATATAATAACGTTAAGAAAAAGCATCATGGAGGTTGGCAGAGATCATTAAAGTGTATTTCAATGCATCAGATGACTGTTCCTGTGATTATGAGCACAAATTGCAGGTCATTATCGAACAAGATTAACTACTTGCATTCTTTATTATACTCAAATATATATTGTAATACTGGTGTAATCACTCTTCAAGAGACTTGGCTCCATGATTCATATGACGACAATTTAGTCTCCTTAAGTGGGTTCACAATCTACAGACAAGACCGATGCAGCTCGAAGAAGAAGAGAGGTGGTGGTGTTGCCACTTTTATTACTTCTCAGTGGTCTACTGCCAACAACGTCTGCTTCAAATTCTCGAATGACAATATTGACTGTATAACTGTAAAATGTCGATCTAAACACTTACCCAAGTACAGCTCCATTTTTGTCACAAATATCTATATCACACCTTGTTGCAGTTACTCAGAACTATCTATCTTCGCTGATGAATTCACTACTTTTGCTGCTGCTTCGTTTGGTAACTCCTTATCTATAGTGACCGGCGACTTCAACACCAGCGACTGCAGTCTTATTACATTGTTGGGCATGCAAATGTTGTTAATTTCCCAACTCGACAAAATACTTCACTTGATTTAGTATTTGTAAATGATTCTGGAATATACGAAGCTCGTAAAAGAGCCCCGCTCTTCAATTCTGATCATTGTATTGTACGAGTCTTACCCAAAATTTACGGAAAGTTACACAGTAAAGCCTTCTCAAATTTGTCTAAGAAAGTTGTTCACAGATGCTACTCAAATGAGAACGTACATCATCTTAGAAACATGCTCAGTGACACAAGATGGGATTTGTTTAATGTTGATTTACTTAATGACAATATCTCTAATATTACATCCTATCTGAAATTCTGTTTTGAAATCTGTTGTCCAAAAGAAACACTATTCGTCAAATTTGACCGTTTCTCCTCGCCTCAACTTAAAAAGCTTCGTAGAGAGAAGGAAAAACTATATAAAATCAAAGATGAAATTGGTGTAAAAAGAACTAACTTCTTAGTTAAGTCTGAAATGCAGAGGTTGAATGTAATATATAACCAGAAATTCATGTCCTGCAAAATTCCTTCTAATATGTGGAAACTATTTAGGGAAATCACTGGTGGTAAGCAGATAAACAATATTCCATATTCTTTTGATGTATGTACTCTTAACAAATCTATTATTTACTTTCCCTCAAATGCCATGTTTCCCAGCATCACTTGTGTTAATAATAGCCTGTAGCGGTAAATAATTCCCCAAAATTATTGACCACAGCAATCACTCATTGGATGCTGACCACCACTGTTTAAGTCGACTTGTTTAGCTGAAGGCTTCCGGTCAAGCATCCCCGCCATTTGGTACCTCGTCGTGTCACGTGCACGATCACTAGCTAGCTAAGCGTTCGTCTAACGGCTGGTTTTGGTTCGTAAATACATTTCTTCGTTTGGACGACCAATTGTTGGCTTTTGCCTTGTCTTTGGTACGCGAGAATAAATTAATTAGAAGTTGTTGAACGAGATATCACGTCAAACCTTTAATATCTCACAACCCTAAACTGGTGAGCCCAACCGCGAACTTCACCCACGATAAATCCTCTCACCCCTAAACTGGTGAGCCTAACCGCGAACTTCAACTACGACAATTACTCAGATAATCCCGGTGAGTTCGTTCCATTTTGTATTTGTTCTTGTACCATATATAATTCGATATAATTTTCGTCATGAGTGATCTTAGTCCCAAGGTCATCCGTATCCGCTCAACTCCTAAAACCATTCAGCTCGTACCATACTGGCCAGATAATGCTGAAACGTGGTTTCTGCTAGCTGAAGCAGATTTTTGTGAGCATGGGATAACTGATCAACGTTCACAGTTACTTGCAGTTATTCACGCCCTACCGCGGGAATTCAGCAAGTACGTAACATCACAGATGTTGAGTCCCGAGGTAAGTAACTCGTACGAGTTGCTGAAAGCATCCCTCCTCAGGAGAAACGCTCTCACGGACAGACAACGTCTAGATGAATTATTTCGCAACATCGAGTTAGGAGATCAGTCAGCCGTGAGCATGCTGACAAGAATGAAACAAGTCGTCGGCCAATGTCAGTTCGACGAAGGACTGTTTAGAGAACTCTTCTTAACCAAGTTGCCACAATCTGTACAGACCGTACTTGTGACACTTGAGGGTACTGTAATAGAGGACTTAGCTATTACTGCAGATAAGATCCTAGAAATAACTAAACGGTCTGTCCCCGAAATATGCTCAATGACTAAGCAGACTTCGAGTGAGGATCCTGCAATGACAGAGTTATGCAACTCCCTTCAGCAGATGTTTAGGTCAAACACACATTCTAAATCCTCCAACCGTCGTCCTAAATCTCCTCAACGCAGGAACTCGCGTGGTCGATCTAAGTCCAAACCACGTTCACTGAAAAACCCTGACTGGTGCTGGTACCACAACACCTATGGCCAAGAAGCGAAGTGTTGCCGTAAGCCTTGTAACTTCGGAAATGTCTCAAAGTCTGTGGGAAACTATCCCGCCGGCACGCGTTAGCGGCAACCGTCGCCGGTGGCACTAGCCGCCTACTTTACATCCATGATGTGATAAGCCAGACTCGATACTTAGTCGACACAGGCGCCGAAGTCAGCGTCCTTCCTGCTACAGCAGCAGATCGACAGAAGGAACCTACCTTCAACTTACAGGCTGCAAATGGAAAACCAATCGCAACCTTTGGTAGGAAATACGTCTATCTGAACGTAGGTTTACGCAAACCTATTCGGTGGATTTTCCTTCTCGCTGACGTTACAATGCCCATCATTGGCACGGACCTACTTAATCATCATGATTTACTCGTAGACGTCCGCCGAAAACGACTGATTGACAATACTACTAGTCTGTCTATCAAAGGCATCAGCTACATAGGCCCTAGTTTGTCACCCGTTAAGATAAAGGCAATTCTTGATCCAACTTTTCAACCTATCGTTGACAAGTATCCGGAACTTAACTGCCCGTCGAACGACCTACCGTGCATAACCAGCAATGTTATGCACCACATCATTACCACAGGACAACCTGTGACATCTAAAGCACGACGATTAGCTCCTGACAAACTGAGAATCGCCAGGAATGAATTTGACCATATGCTTAGCCTTGGCATCATTCGACCTTCGAATAGCCCATGGGCATCCCCACTTCATATGGTTCCGAAAAAGGATAGCAACGATTGGCGACCCACCGGTGATTACCGGCGAGTGAATGCCAAAACAACCCCTGATTGCTACCCGTTGCCTCATATACACGACTTGACGGCAACCTTATCCGGCGCGACTATATTCTCTAAAATCGACTTGGTTAAAGCGTATAACCAAATCCCGATGGCAACAGAAGACATCCCGAAAACGGCTATCATTACGCCTTTCGGACTTTTTGAATTTCTACGTATGCCATTCGGTCTTCGGAATGCAGCCCAAACATTCCAACGCTTCATCGACGAAGTATTTCGCGGTCTCGACTTTGTATACGCATACTTAGACGACTGCCTCATTGCCAGTCCAGACAAGGAAACTCACCTTCGGCACTTGGACTTGGCATTTGACAGGTTACGCCAACATGGTGTTACCATTAATATTCATAAGTGTCAAATCGGTGTTGACTCACTCGACTTCCTGGGTCACACTATTGACTGCAAGGGCATTCGCCCACTGGCTACTAAGGTTGAGCCTCCTAAGAAAAACCGTTCTGGACGCACTGTAAGGTTCCCAGAACACTTGCATACTTATTTGAATTAACGAAGTCGTGTGATTCACGCAACTCACTCGTTTGTGGTACTATTTTTTTTTTGACGTATAAGTTTTTTTTATATACAGTACCACCGAACACAAAAAAATTGTTTTTTCTCCACAGTTCATGTAACATACTTAAAAAATTAATTCGATGTATTTTTTTTCCGATGTTCTGAACTTAGCAATAGTTTACTGTATAGTAAATGCACACAATTTTTTTTAACCAAAAAGATCATTTCGTACATTTTCCTCGACATGGTTCTTAGCGTTCTTGTTTTCTTTTCCAGGTGCGACGGGCACTGGACGGGAAACAAACGAAGCACGGAATCCAACGAACAACACCAGGAAGCTATGTACAAACACCCCATTAGCATAGGCAGACAAACCAGTAGGCATAAGACCAAGCCGCTCGGAAGATTTTTTTCACCCGAAAGGGAACCATCGAGTTTTTTTTACTTCCGGCTGGTTCTGTCTTAGGGTCCTCACGACCCCACTAGGGGGGGAGTGAGCTGTAGCGGTAAATAATTCCCCAAAATTATTGACCACAGCAATCACTCATTGGATGCTGACCACCACTGTTTAAGTCGACTTGTTTAGCTGAAGGCTTCCGGTCAAGCATCCCCGCCATTTGGTACCTCGTCGTGTCACGTGCACGATCACTAGCTAGCTAAGCGTTCGTCTAACGGCTGGTTTTGGTTCGTAAATACATTTCTTCGTTTGGACGACCAATTGTTGGCTTTTGCTTTGTCTTTGGTACGCGAGAATAAATTAATTAGAAGTTGTTGAACGAGATATCACGTCAAACCTTTAATATCTCACAACCCCTAAAAGCCCCTTTCCAGGTTTTAACACAAATGATGTTCAAAAGTGCCTCAAGTCTCTAAATCCTTCCCAGAGCTTAGGTCCCGATTATGTACCTAGTATTATTTTTAAAAAATGTTCTGATATTCTGTGTCACCCTCTTACTGATCTATTTAACAAATCTTTTTCCGATAATATTGTGCCTGCCGTTTGGAAGGACATTAAAGTTGTACCCATACCTAAATCTTCTACTGGAGCATGTGTCAAATTTAGACCCATTGCTATTACGTCTCCTTTTTTGAAAACTATGGAGAAATTACTTTTACTTAGTCTTGAACCTTCGCTTAAATCCTTTTAAGACCATAAACAACTTGCATATAAGCACAGTAGAAGCACTTTAGATGCAGCTGCCGTCTTATATCATAACATTGCTTCCAGTCTAGACAAGGGGGCTAAATTTGTTCGTTGCGCCTTCCTAGACTATACATCTGCTTTCGACTCGGTCCCTAGGGACATCTTATTAAATAAACTTGCTGCTAGTCAAACAGAATATTGGGCTGTTAACTGGTTGCATTCCTATTTCTCAAATAGAAAGCAGTACACCGTGTATAAAAAGAAGTCCTCCACTTCATTGCCTACTGAAGCTGGTGTCCCTCAAGGTGCTGTTCTTTCTCCTTTTCTTTTTTCTTTCTTCTCGCACGACTTGCCTCACTCTGATGAAATAAACTTTGTGAAGTAATCACTTGATTCAAACTATACTCACTTCCTCCATCATTGCACATCTTAGGCAGTTCATTATCATCTCCCATTTATTTATTCCAAGACAGTAGATATTATTTGTACAAAACAGTGATGCGAATGTTTATATGTTAGGTGATGTGGGCTTTTCACATTAGTGGTGCAAAAGAAATAAAATTCTTATTGGTAAACTGTATGACTATAAATTTCTATAGGTTTTTCAATGCTTAGGCTCTATTGGCTGACACAATAGTTGAAAAATCAATTAGGTATGGGTATCTGATATAATCAACTACATCACGTGAAAAACTCTCTCCATATTTATTTCAGCTTAATCCATATGAGAGCAGTAATAATAGCTTTATTCTGGACAGTATGACTAAATACAGTACATAATTCTTAACTTGCTTTAATGCCTGATAGTTACTCAACGGACAGGATCTTAAGCATAATAACTAACAGTTTACTATATGGCACAATGCTATTCATTCTGGCGAGATCTACCTTTTTATTTACTCGGATAAGTCCATAACAGGCTAATGAAAGCTACATGAATACATGATGACTATTAAAACAATGAAAAATGGCAAAAATGTAATACTTTATTTTGGGTGGAAATCAGGGTATCGTCTAAGAGATGACATTATAATATTGATGATTAGGAAAATTAGAAAGTAAAAACTTTTTAAACACATTTCCATTTATGATTTCAAGCAACATAATCATGTAATGTAACTGGGCGAAATATTTCTGACAATCTGGTCACACATATACTTATCTTGAGAATTCATACAGAAATCTGCGTGTGATCGGACTGTTCTACTCACCGACTGATTAAATCAAGATGTTCGGCTACTAAAGACCGCAAGCGCATCCAGTGACGAGTCTCAAATAGGATGAAATTTGTATAATAGATTACATTGCTAGTCATCAGCTACACAATTCTTTTAAACCACACTGTCGAACATAAATAACCATAACAATACTGTGAGTGTTAAAAAATGCAGTAAAAATCCAATAAACATTTTATACCTCATTGTGTTTTTATTCAACTACATGACAGACATTCTCGTTTACGGTTTAACACTTATTCAGCTACTGAATTAATCTATGCCAATGATAAATTTTGGTAGGGAGTCGGCAAACCCTAATAGACGCTAGTTCAGTAGTAAACGTTACTTTATGTACTATGAAATGTCTTTGGCCTAAGATCTTCACTCTTGTTTCACTAGCAAAAGAAAAAGTTGATCCGTAAACATGAAAAAAAGAATATAATAAAGTAATATCGACTGTACAAGTCGGTGATCTCATACTTTCATTTATTATGTATACACCTTTAGTGCCATCACAGGGCTAATTTGTTCTCACTGCCTTTGCTGTTTACAGAAGCAAACAAGGAAAAATGAGAAAACAGTAGTCGAGTGTACACAACTACTCATCATTCATAAAGTATAAACCTGAGTCTATTAAGAATAAAAAACAATCATAAGTAATGAAACGTTCCTTATATGACCGACAGTAGATAAAAGGATATGAAGTATAAACACTCATTGTCTGACCAAATGACAATTACACTGTCATATTAACAAATATACTAATTCAATATTTCCTTCAGTGATGGATGTTAACGAAAGTGTACGTCACGCATAATATAAAAAGTAGCAGAAATAATTAATAAACAAACTCAGGTATTAATCAAAAACTGCAGTGGAATCTTGTGTGCTATACACCGGTTATAAACAACATTAGTGAAATAGAGTTTGATTACTGCATAGAGAGCTGTTTAAAGCCTTATAGGTCTACTTTTGTGAGCTATGAGTGGTATAAGTGAACTCCAATACGTTCTGTGTAAACTAGCCCAATCGTCTGAAGATTGTGAAGTTGGAAGTAAATGGAATTTCATCTAGTCATTTAAATCTATCTTTGACAAATCAACTTTAAAAGCTCTTGCAGATAGCCAAAACGCAATAAAATAATCTTTACAGCAATTTAAAATAAAGAAGTTCATATTCAGTGACCTTAGCTTTTACTTAACGCCTATCTATTTCCTTTTTCTTGAATTCTATCGTGAACTGAAGGAAGTTGGAATTCATGGGCAATTAGATCAGATCCCAGTGGCTTAACTTTCTACAAGCTCCCATTGTAGTCGGAAGGTCTGAGGTTTGAACCCCAGTGATAAAGAGTCCCGAACTAGGACCAAAGAGATGTCCAGTACTCCCAAGTTTCACCATTGTTCCCTAACCAACGTCTGCTCATGATAAAACACAGGAACCAATTAAATCTCTGCAAATAAACATTTCCACTTTCTATTTCACCACTGAAGGGTACAAAGAGAAGAATAAGGTGAGAGTAAGAAAGAATTTCTTTCATTTTCTACACTTCATGTATCTTAAATGCGGTCTGGTTACATTTCTGTTTTCAGCTATTTAGCTCACTGACTGTACTCTATCTAAGTTGAAATTTAACTAATCACCCAAAACTCAGAGGCTATTCTCAATACAGAGATGAACTTCTATATAAC